GGAGATCACATATTAAATCGATAATGTCTCATTATCTTAGACTAACGCTGGACCCAATGTCTTCCTATCATGCACCTTAATCCAACAAATAGGATTATGAAATTTAAGCTATACAAAGCCTCATCTGATGTCATACGAATACTTTTCTGATAGTTGTTATTATAAGAAAACTTGGCCAAGGGCAAGGACTCCTCAACTACCACGAAAGTCAATAACACAACCCTATCACTTGTGTTTCAAAATTTGTATCACTCTTTAAGACTCACCACCAGTCTATAGATGGAAAGATGTCATGAAATTCAAACGAGTACCTAGAGCATAAGAAAACTTGGCCAAGGGCAAGGACTCCTCAACTACACGAAAGTCAATAACACAACCCTATCACTTGTCTTTCAAATTTGTATCACTCTTTAAGACTCACCACCAGTCTATAGATGGAAAGATGTCATGAAATTCAAACGAGTACCTAGAGCCTCATACAAAGCCTTATAGAATCTTAGGGTAAATCTTGGATCTCGATTAAAAATTATAGATAACATAACAATGTGAAATCTAACAATCTCTGATATATAATCTAGTCAGCTTGTCTAGAGAATAATTAACTCAAAGAGGAATAAAATGAGTTGACTTAGTAAGTCAATCGATAATCACACAGACACAATCCTTCTTAGGAGTTAGAGGCAAACTTCGAACAAATTCCATCGTAATATGCTCCAACTTCCATTCAATAATCTTAATAGGTTGTAATAGACCAAAAAATGTTGATGTTCTGCCTTAACCTGCTGACAAGTCAGACACCTTAACTAATCAGAAATATTTTTCTTCATACTAGCCCAATAGCATCTCTCTCTCATATTAATATACATCTTATCTTTACCTAACTGCATAGCATAAGAGTTACTATAAGCCTCACTATGGATATCCCACTTCAACTCTACATAATTAGGAACACAATAACTGCCCTTGAAGCACAAAATTCATTCTTAATTAAAAGCATAGTTTGATCAGGTGGATCATGCTTAACTTTCCTCATAATGGGGAGCAAAGAGCTATCTAGAATATGTTTGGCCTTAATCTCTTCCGCCAAAGTTGACCTAACCTGCAACTCTTCCAACAATCTACCATCATCAAATAACCTCATCCTGGAAAACAAACATCTTAGAGTTGATATTGTTTTATGGCTCAAAGCATTAACAATGACATTCGCTTTACCCGGACGATAGTCAATCTCACATTCATAATCCTTAAGAAGCGGGAGCACATGATGCTTCCTTAAATTGACCACTTTCATTTTTATTTAATTAAGATGTGGTTAATATGAGTTAATTATCGTTAACAGTTAACAGATTAGGTGACATGATAGTTAAAGATTTTGATATAATCACACATTGGTCCCTATTATTTGCATATTCACTTGATTTAGTCCTTTTAATAAATTAAAATAAATTTAATCCTCCAATCGAATGACACCACGTGTCACTGATGCACGACCAATGCTTGGTCTAAAATAGACTACATGATGTATATATTTGTATCTTAATGTATAAAAACTTGACTTAAATTCATAACATTTTATATATATTAACTTAAATTTTTTATTAACTTATTAAATATATTTTATTATTAACTTAATTTTAAAAATATTTTTTTTATTTAAAAATATATATTTTATTATTATCGAAAGTTTTAAAAATATATATTTAATTTATTTTAATTTATTAAAATAACTAAATTGAGAGAATATGTAAATAACAGGGACCAAATATATAATTATATCAAAATATTTAATAGTCATGTCACTTAATTTGTTAACTGTTAACGGTAGTTAACCCGTAGTGATAATTTATTAATTAAATAAAAATGAAAGTGATCATATCTTAGTTAAATAAAAAAGAAAGTAGCTATATATTATGCTTTTTGAAATCAGTAAGTAAAATTGGATAAATCACATACATAAATAATCACGTAGTTAACCCCAAATCATTTCAACTATGTTAGATATTTTTTAGACTCAAGAATTTAATATATTCCTGACTGATTCCATATATTATATGATCAAGTTGGAGATTATGGTTCTTATAAAAATTATAACGATATTGTCTTCGGTTAAGTGAAATTTCGTAATACTCTTAAGATATTTTGTTTTTGTTTATTATTTTGCCATCTATACTTTCATTTTAGTATAAAATTTTTATTTGATCTTTGTATCAACCACCATGATAATATATTATGTGCATAGCGTATATATATTTAATATGATGTAACTCTTTTAAATCTCTGTAACTTTTAGAATTTACGTTATAATGATAATTTTATAAAATGCTGAGATAGTGTTTTAGGACAACTGGGATTTTAGTATATATACTAGTTTTTTTTGTGATATAACGTTTATTGTGGATTAATTGTTTCTCTCGTACGTGGAGGTAGGCAAGATCGAACTAAATCAAATTCCATCTCTTGCGTGTGTCTTGTTTCTATGATGATATCGCATTGTTTGTTTTCTGCTTAAAACTCCCAACACATCCCATATCCTTTTGAACAGGAAATAGCTGGAACATCAGCAGCCACATTTTAATTCTCTGTAATACCACTTGAGACTTTATTGTCTGAATTTCAGCAGTAGTTGTATTCAGCACACCAAGAGGACCCGAAAACAAAACAGACCTATCCACATTGAATTACATAGAACATTGAGGCTTTGCAACACAATGGATCATAAAAAATAATCCCATAATCCATAGCTTTAATCCAGTGAAGGGATCAAGTTTTATCAAATCCATGTTTTTACCTTCAAGCGCTGATTCAATCTTTGCAAGCCATCAAACTTTAATCGACGCAGAGAAAAACAAGAGGGGCGGCATTCGGATCGACTACTCTTCTACCATACACTATTACATTATGATAAAAGATGTTTCAATACGTGAGCATAAGGGAAAAGATCGCGTCATTAATACATAAATTCATAAAATTTTGAAGGTTAAAGAAATCTTATTACAATGGCAATCAATCAAGGTGTCTCGGAGTAATTGTATGTACCTCACTTTGCAAAGATACATTGGCCTTGAGGAAACAAGAATTATAAGAATTCCTGAACTTTTGAACCTAAGATGAAGAAAGCATTATCAAAGAAGCTATCTTATTGAAGTTAAGAATAATCATATGCATTATACATATAGATGTGCTTGCTTGATTCAGGTTACTTGGAGTTAGAAGTCGAAGAACTGCCTCGATCTTTTATGGAATTTTACACTTCCTCCATGAGATTCTACATTTAACAATCCATAATAGAAATTAATAATATTTATGACAAATAAAAGAAGAAGAGTAAATTAAAATGAATTTTGACTTACTTGGGTGTTAGAAGTTGAAGGCTTGCTTTGATATTCTTTAGAATTCTCACGCTCTTCGATAATGACCGTGGACGGAGACAGGATTGAACTATAAGAAGACAAGTTTTTTAGCTTTAAAATAAATAGGGGCTTAGAAAATAATTAAACCATAAAATTAAGAGATTAAGAGTTTAATTTCACTAATTTTAAAATTCAAAGGTCTTAAAAAGTAATAAAACCAGACAATTTTGGGGTCAAGACTTAATTCTAATAATTTTAAAACTGCTAGTGTCCTAAAACTAATTATACTAAAAAATTTTAGGAGGGCAATGACTCAATTGTAAAGTTTTCAAAATTTATTATGTTATCATGTACACTCATAGTGAGCAACCTCATCGTAGTGCGAATAATAAGCGCATGTCTTATTCTTAATAATACAATGCATCCTGTTATGGTCGCAGGAGATTTGAGAAAACATACCTTTTCTCTGAATAATTGTTGTATGGTTCTATTAAGGCTGCCGTCCCCACTTGCGGGTTCAAACTCTGTGCAACATTAGAATGTTTGAGTGTCCTTAACAGAACATCTTTATCTTTGGGCAATTACTTAAAACTAGAATTTCCAAGGATGGGAATTCAAAGGTAAAATTCCCTGATGAGCAGAAGCTTTCTAACTTTGGTAGACGATGGAGTTCCAAACGGTTGAGTTGGGGGAAACTGATTTCGTCATGATGGTCATCATCATCACCACCTTGAATCATTTCTTGGATTTTTTTGTAATACCTTGCACTAGACTTTTGGATGTGGAATGTGTGATTAATTTTATGATTCCATCACATTGTTCTACATCCAAAGTCATCAGTTTTGCGCATGCAAAATCCTTTGATTTTGGTGTCCTTCCTTTTCCTTCCATATATGCAACAATTTAGAAAGATAAAACAGTTTTAATTCAGTTATCTGAGAGAGTAGCAGCGATGCCGGCTTTTCCTCACCACCTTCACTTTGGAATATCATCTCCTTAAAACAAGATCCGCTTATTTCGAGTGTTCGAAGATTGGGTAACGATAATAAAGGAGCAAGTAAGTTGACAATACGGTAAATTGCTACGAATAGCTCTCAAGTTTGACAACTTTTAGGTTGCCAAAGTAACGAGATTGGTGTTGCTGTTGTTGTTGGCCTTCACAATGCCATATGATCTCTTTGATTCCAGCATTCCATCCCAAAGATAGTTGATGTAGATTTGGAAATGACTTCAGAATTCCCCATTATTTTGTTAACAACACAAACAAAGGATGCATTGGTCAAAATTGAAAGAATATCTTCTAATACTAAACAAGTAGCTCCATTCAGGAGACAGAGTAGATCAAATAAATAAAATAAAATAGTTTGGGAATTAGGATGATACCTCATTCACCCAAAAGAGGGACTGATGACTAGTGTTCCCTATTGTTTCTTGAGAAGAAAACAATATCTCCACAGTCACATCCACTCACTCTCAGTTCCTTCAATGAAGGACAATTTATATTATGTATTTTATTATGGATACTCTATAGATTTGGCAAGGAACAGATATCTAAGGATGTCAAATGTAATAACATCTGATTGAATGAATGACGAAGAAAGTGATGGCACCGCTTTTCTGCTTCCTCCTCATTGGGACCTAGATTCAAATATGATCTCTTCTACTGATTTACAATCCTTTATGCTCATTCTGTCAAGCTTTTGAAGTCTTGTCGAAATATTCAACAGAAAAGCATTCAATAGATTAGAACAATCCTCCAAATCAGTGGAAGTTAGTCTAGAAAAGGAATGTTCAACAAGTTGGTTAGGCCATAGCCTCTCCAATGTTGGGAAATAAACGAGAACAAGTAATTTCCCTATAACCAGATTAGTGAGAATGTGAAATAAAAGAGGAAAATAATACCCGAAATTGATAACAGAGTTAAGCCAATTTGCTTAAGTCTCCGGACTGTTGCAGATCTTTTACTAAGAGAGAAAATTTACAGGTGTTTACAAAACACTCACTACTCACAAGAAAGATCTCTAGTATTGGGAGAAAGAAATGATTTTGGGATGATATTGAAGCTAAATGGGTTAGGGTATTTATAGTTGAAGCTTAAAGACTAATCTTATAAATACCCTAAAGTGCAATGACTATTTGTAATTATCCCATTATCATTTTTCAACAAACATCTACCAAACTTTGAAAAACTATTTTTCAAAGAAACATTTACCAAACTTTGAAAACCATTTTTTCAAAGTTGGTTGCCAAACTTTGAACTAATACTTTCAACAATCTCCCACTTGAAGACTGATTTTAATCTGTCTTCACACCTCGATCGATGCAGTAGTATTTCTAGTCTTGTTATTCTAGCATGCCAACTGAAGTTTAACACAACTTCAGTTTGTCCGTGGTCACCGTCTTTGTCAACATGTCTGCCGGATTTTGAGCTCCACTAATCTTTTCAAGTTTCAAAATCCCATCTTCCAGAAGAGACCGGAAAAAATGATATCGTAATTGTATGTGCTTCATCTTGGAATGAAAAGACGGATTCTTTGCTAGATGGATAGCGCTTTGACTGTCGCAATACAAGACATTATTTCTTGTTTCTTGCCTAACTCTTCCAAGAAACTTTGGAGCCAAACCATCTCCTTGTTGGCTTTCGTAACAAAGACATATTCTATTTCAGTTGTGGAGAGAGCAACTATCTTCTGTAGTTGAGAAACCCAACTCACTGCAGTACTTCCTAGAGTATAGACATACCCTGTAGTGCTCCTTCTGATTTCAATATTTCCGGCTAAGTCATCATCTACATAGCCTGTCAGTATCGTATCTCCACCTTTGAAACAAAGTGCTTTGTTTGTAGTACCCCGTAGGTATCTGAGGATCCATTTGACAGCTTCCCACTGTACCTTTCCTGGATTATTCATGTACCTGCTAACAACTCCCACTGCATGAGCAATATTTGGTCTAGTACAAACCATGACATACATCAGACTTCCAATTACTGAGGCATACGAAACATTCACCATGTGTGCACGTTCTTCCTCCGTCTTTGATGACTGTTCTTTGGAGTCTAAAATGAACACCTAAAGGTGTATTTACTGGTTTAGCATCTTGCATGTTGAACCTGGAGAGTACTTTGTTGATGTACTCAGCCTGTGATAACATCAAAGTCCCCAACTTTATTTCTCTCTTGATTCTCATCCCAAGAATCTTCTTTGTTGCACCCAGATCTTTCATTGCAAACTGCTTCGACAATTTTTGCTTCAAGTTTGTAATCTCTTGCATGTCTGAACCTGCAAAAAGCATGTCATCAACATACAACAATAAAATAATGAAGTTGTTTTCGAACTTCTTGATGTAGCAACAATGATCTGCTTGGCATCTGGTAAAACCACTGCTACTCATGAAGCTATCGAACTTCTTGTACCACTGTCTAGGAGTTTGTTTTAAACCATACAAGCTCTTCTTCAACCTGTATACTAGGTTTTTCTTGTCTGCTGCCTATATGAAGCCTTCTGGATGCCTCATATAAATTTCTTCCTCCAAATCACCATGAAGAAAAGCTGTCTTCACATCTAACTGCTCAAGATGTATATTCTCTGCAGCTACAATTTTCAACACCAGTTTGATTGTAGAAAGTTTCACGACTGGAGAAAAAATTTCATTGTAATCAATACCTTCTTTTTGTTGAAAACCTTTGACAACCAATCTTGTTTTGTAGCGTTTTCTTCCATCGTGCTCTTCTTTGATTCTGTAAATCCACTTGTTATGGAGTGCTTTCTTGCCTGATGGTAATTCAGCTAATTCCCACGTCTGATTTGACATAAGCGAGTCCATCTCATCTTTCATGGAAGACTCCCACTTGACTAAATCCTCTACCTTCATTACTTCATCATAGCACTCTGGTTGTCAGTCAGCAACAAGTAGTGCAAAGAAGGTGAATAACGCTGGGTTGGTTTAGGAATTCTGGATGATCATCTTAGTTCCGATGTGTTTGGTTCTTCTTGAACTTCTTCAGGATTGATCTAAACATCATTTCTTGAAATCTCCTCGAACTCAGCAAATTCCTTTGTTTTAGCTTCGGTATTGGAGCTACTTGATTCTACAGTAGACCTGTCTTTGTACATCACATTCTCATTGAAAATGACATCTCTACTTCTGATGATCTTTCAATTTTCGTAGTCCCAAAATCGGTAACCGAACTCATCACCACCATAACCAACAAAGATACATTTGTTGGACTTGGCGTCAAGTTTACTTCTTTTAGCATAATTTATGTGTACATAAGAAATACAACCAAACACTCTTAAGTGCGAAAGGTTTATTTCTTTCTTGCTCCAAGCTTCCTCTGGTATTCCACTATCCAAGAGAACTGAGGGCCCGCGGTTAATCAGGTAAGCTGTAGTGTTGATAGCTACAGCTCATAGTAATTTGGGCAATCCAGCATGTATCCTCATGCTTCTGGCACGTTCATTCAGATTTCTATTCATACTCTCTGCTTCTCCATTCTACTGCGGTGTCATGGGAACTGTTGTCTCTATGTTGATCCCATTGTTTGCGCAAAAATCTCTGAATCTACTATTTGTGTACTCTCCTCCATTGTTAGACCTCAACCGCTTGACTTTCAAACCAGCCTCATTTTCCATCATAGCCTTCCATTTTCTGAATGTATCAAAGACTTCTGATTTATTCTTCAGAAAATAAATCCACACCTTCTTTGTAGAATCATCGATGAATGTGACATAATATAGTGAGTCTGCAAGAGATGGAACTGGAGATGGTCCCCATACATCAGTATGAACTAAATCTAACTTTTCTGCCTTGGGTGTCTTGTCAATCTTTGCAAAACTGACTTTCTTTTGTTTGCCAAAGATGAAATCCTCGCATAGTCCGTTATATACACTCTTTAGATCTGGTAGCTTCTGTTTTGACAAAAGTGCCTTCATCCCTTTCTCGCTTATATGGCCAAGCCTTTGGTGCCATAGGTTTGATTTTCCATCAGCATTTGTTACTGCAATGATATTCTCTAAATTTGAGGTTACATAGAGAGTACCAGTCTACTTACCACGAGCAATGACGAGTGCTCCTTTGGTAATCTTCCATTCACAGACTGAAAAGGTTGTGATATATCATTCCCCATCAAGATGTCCTACTGAAATCAAATTTCTTTTGAGGCCAGGAATATGTCTCACTCCTTTCAGCTTCCAGGTGGTTTGGTTTGGCAACTTTAATCAGATGTCTCCTTTTCCGACGATCTTCAAGGTTTCAGCATCAGCTAGATGAACCTTCCCAAAATCATCACTGACATAGTTCTCCATGATTTCTTGGCATGGGGTGGAGTAGAAAGATGCCCCTGAATCCAAGATCCATGATTCAATCGGACTGTTGACGCTTAAAATCATGGCATCACTTATCTCCTCTGTCATGTTGGCAGATTCATGTGCGTCGGTATCTTTCTTCGGTGCTCGACAATCTCTTTTAAAGTGACCCTTCTTGCCACAATTATAACAGGTAAAATTTTTCTTTCCCGTTCTTGATTTTCCCGTTCTGGATTTCGATCTTCCATGATTTGAATATCTTCCTGAAGTTCTCCCTTTAGACTTTGTGTGCAAGGCTGAGGAGCTTAATGCTTCACCCGATTCTCTCCGTTGAATTTCATCACTAAATACTAGATCCCGAACATCGTCGAATTTTAATTTGATGTTTCCTGACGAGCTGCTGACTGCTGTAACTGTAGCATTACAACTGTCAGGTAGAGATGATAAGAGAATTAAAGCTTCAACTTCATCATCGAATTCAATTTCCACGGAACTCAACTAGGTTGTGATTGTGTTGAGTTCATTTAGGTGTCGAGCCACTGATGCCCTTTCCGCCGTCTACAAATTGAATAATCGCCTCATCAAATGAACTTTGTTTAAGGTCGATGGCTTCTCATACATACTGGAGAGAGCTGCCATAAGACCCACCGTGGTCTTTTCCTTTGCTATGTTTAAAGTAACATTGTGGGATAACGTCAGTCGGATAACTCCGAGGGCTTGTTTGTCAAGAAGAGCCCAATCTTCATTCTTCATGCCCTCTGGTTGCTTTCTTGAGAGAGGTTGATATAGATTTTTCTGGTACAGAAAATCTTCAATCTGTATCTTCCAGAAGCCAAAGTCCGTACCATTGCAGCCATCGCTCCCACTCAAATCTGGTTTCGTTTGGATCGTTTCTGACAATTCATGCTTAGAACACCTCCGTAGAAAAATTTGTATTACCGACAAAATTTTTACTATTCACAAAATTTACTATTCATGTAAATAGTAATGAATAGTAACCTCGCAAAAAATTGACAATATTCACAACCAAAAGCTATGATTACCAGTTGTTGGGAAATAAACGAGAACAAGTAATTTCCCTATAACCAGATTAGTGAAAATGCGAAATAAAAGCGAAAAAATAATACCCAAAATTGAAAAACTATTTTTAATTATCTTATTATCATTTTTCAACAAACATCTACCAAATTTTGAAAAACTATTTTTCAAAGAAACATTTACCAAACTTTGAAAATCATTTTCAAAGAAACATTTACCAAACTTTGAAAATCATTTTTTCAAAGTTGGTTGTCAAACTTTGAACTAATACTTTCAATATCCATGTTGTCAGTGTTGTAGTTCACAATTCCTCTAGCACAGGAAGTATCACCTGCATGCGAATTTTTATTTTGAATGTGTATGTAACTATATATATAATTGAAAATAAAAGAAAACATTACATAAAAGGAATTCAAGTTAAGGAAATACTATGTTGCTACAATTATATCCATCATGATCTAAAATCAAAAATCTAAATGCAATAATTTTCAAACCATAGTCCCTAAAATCTAAAATTCTAAACCCGTTCATGGAAAAAAGTATTCCACCCAAGTGCATGAATAATTTTAAAAAATTAGGGTATACCTTTTCATTGAAGAGATAATGTGGCGGCGGAACTTCATAGTTTCCATCATTAAAATGGAATGTGTTTAAACCAGTACATTTCATTATTTCTAAACGCCTTAACGAGATAAATTCAATCGGATTAATTCCACAACAAAATCTTTTCAGTTTTGGATGCCCTTTAAGGCGCAAAGACTCAAGTTTAGGAAACACCCTTATGCTGCTGTTAATCCTTTATTCTTTTGTTTCCGCTTTTATTTCTTCTATTACCTCTTCCATTTCATGACAACCCGAAACTAACATTGTTTTCAATTGTACAAAACTTTTAATCATCGATGAAGTAAATACATACTTCAACTTATGGCAATATAACACTTCCAAAGTTGTTAAACTTTGAACACCAAAAGACATTAATAAAAATTGATCATCAATATTCCATATTTTCTCAATACCACCTACCGACTTCAAGTACATCTCCTCAAGACAGGAGATAAAACCTGCAAATATATAAAATCCATGTTTCAGATCATCATAAACAGATCATTCTTAATTATCACTCAAAGTATATAGTTTGTCTTTAGAAAGTAATAAGTTTTTTTTTTTAATATTATATAAAAAATGAAAAGATATAAAAGATTTTATAATAATGTTCTATATAAAATTATTTTAAATTTTGTTTTTTTTTTTGAAAAAAAAATCATCTGAGTTGATGTTATTTAACCGGTAACACCAAATAATGGTGTAAATATAAATAAATACGTGCTCTTTCATCTTTAAAGCAATAAGAAAATGAGGAAAGATCATTTTTTATGCATGCTATAATTAATGTACAAAAGAAAGAAGAAGAGAAATACAATTACCTTTTTATCAAAAAGTCAAGTGGCTGATTGGAATGTATTTTCTGAATACCACGAGCTATTGAATCTATTCAGATGATCCAACCTTAAGATGCGCAGTTTACTGAATCCCAAAATGCCTTTCTCACTGGTCTCTTCCTTTTCTGAAATTAACTCCGTGATGTTCTTGCAATTGGATACCTAAGATTTTTAAGTTGGTGAAGTCTTTTTGGCTATGGAGAATGAGAACAAATTATTCTACATATTGCAGTTATCGACTTTTATGAATCTTAACTGCCCAAAAGATTCAGCACTTGTGTAGTAAAACATTTCCTCAACATCTTCCAATCCATCGAGATATAAACTTTGAGTTTTTCCTAATAACAATTTAATCCCATTCACCAAATGAGTAATTTTATTCATCCTGAGCTTCAGTATTCTTGACGTTTTCAAACCCCTGCTGCTCCAAAGGCTCATACCTCCAATGGAAATCATGTATTTTTCCATCTTCCCGAAAAATGAATTATCTTTTGCTATAGCTTCCACATGAGGAATATGTACGGCCAAAGTGTTTAGACGAGACAAATACTGCAACTCAACAAGACTGGCATTTCTTCTTGGATTCTCAATTCCCTCAACCTCTCAATTGATGAAGCTACAATATAGGTATAGTTCTTCTAATCTGGATAACTTTGATAACACATTTGGTGATATTACTTTAAGTTCCTCACAATAATTCAAGTCTAGCAATTTTAGTCTGGTCAACTGTCCTATCTCCTTTAGTAGCATTTTCATTCTAGATTCACTGAGGTCAAGGATTTCTAAATTTCCCAACTCTCCGAAGATGCCTATATATTCTACATCACAGCCTACCAAACGCAATGTACAGAGATCTCAAGGAACCAATGGAAAAGGCAAGGATGTAAAACGTGTTTTGGCAAATTCCAAGACTTTGAGTCTTTGCATACCCTAAAGAAAGTTATTTGAAAATTTCAAAGGCGGACAATAATTCGTACCAATTGAGAAATAGGTAAGATTTTGACATTCTAATTTATGATTAAGAAGCTCACTAACCTGGACATTCTGTAAGCTTACCAATTGGCTTTTGTTCATTTTCTCATCTGGCCAATCTTTGAATAAAGATAGCTTTGGTGAGAACTTTTGAGTAACATCACGAACAACATCATGCATATCAAAATGGCTTTGGTGAGAACTTTTGCGTGACAGACAAGAGGCCTTCAAGTTGTTTACCGATGTCAAGACTCTATCTCGACTCTCTTCCATGGTTCTAACATCATGGATAAAACCCAAACCAATAGCATATCTCAACAAATCCTCCATATCAGCATTATGACCCATTATGATATAGAGTAAAAAGATTGGCCCAAGTTCCTCGACTTCTAGAAACTTGTACCTTAACTCTATTGCTGAATATGCCCCGCTATGCTTTTGAAGTTTCTTTTGGAGGGATTACTTAGCTGTCGCAAAGCATCCCTCCTTTCAAACAAATTCTGCTTAGGTTTTAAAGCCTTTGCAGTTGTTGCCATAGCGATCGGCAGTCCTGCACATCGTTTGGCAACTTCAACCGCTGTAGATTGTAAGTCAGATCTTTGAACAATATAGCCAGCCCTTTTCTTGAACAGATTCCATGCTTCATCTTGTTTCAATGTTTCAACTGAAAAGTTTGGTTCAGAATCCATTGATTTTAACACGTCAAGCCTCCTAGATGTCATCAATATCTTGCATCCCTTGTGTTGGTCTGCTGAAGGAATTCCAATTATATCCACTCTTTTTTCTCCAAAATATCATCCAAGATGACAAGAACATTTTTGGCTTTCTTCAGTCGATCACGTAGTCGGGCTGCTCGAACATCAACGCTTGGGTCGTCTAGTTTGAGTCCTAACTGACTGGCAATCTCATTTTGAAGATTTTGTGTGTTAGAGGTTTGCGTTACAGCTATGAAGACCACTTCATTAAACAGTTGTTTCTCCATGGCTCGTTTGGAAGCCTCTTTGACGAGTGTGGTTTTACCCACACCACCCATCCCGTACACTCCAATTATACTGACTGTATCATCATCTAATGCCGCCATGACTTCATCTAAAGCAAAGCTTCTTGATCCGAAGGCCTCATACTCTGACAGGTCTGATAATGTCTATCCCTTTTGGATCAGAATGGTAGGAAACTCCATCAAAGTTATCCTTTTGTGTCATGAGTTGAGCTATGTCATTGGCCTCCTTGTCCGCTTTCTTGCTAATCCAGTAACTGGACATGAAATCAGGGCAAAATCCAGTAAAACATTTCTTCTTTGATTTATCTTCAGTCTCCTGCAATTGTGTCGCAGCCTTCTTGGAGATCTTCTCACCGGCCACTGTCAACCACTTTGAAAATCATCAAAAATCACATGCCCCTTCCAATTAGCCGAGTAAACATATTGTTGCACCATTTTTCTTGCATCCTTTAGGTCTTGAACTTGACTCCGGAGATTGAGAAACTTGCTCCTGGACTTGAATAAGTAACTAAGTTGTCGTGCAGCGGGATTGACGGTGTACTCAGCAGCTTTGGCAACAAGAGATCCAACAATGCCAACAAAAAATTCCAAATTTTACCTTGAAAATTTCGATATGAAGCAGAACAAACTGTAGAACCACCTGGAAGTAAATCCTTACCAACAAAACACTCGTTGCGAAGTAAAACAAAAAACAAGAACATATTGAATAACAAAATGCATATTTGAAACAGTGGTGTAAATATGATATAATCAAAGAATAAAATAATGGAAGCAGTGTATTAAACAAAGAATGCCTCCTCTAATTTGGATATCCAATGCAAAAGATTAATAAGCTTTAGCGTTTGATTTCTTCCTATTCCTACATTGAAATCCTTGACTGGATCTGGATTTGGCTTCTGCATGCAAGGATAGTGCATATTTTTTATTTGTATTTATTTCTTTCTCGACAAAAGCATCGTTGACTAGACCTGGTTTTGGTTTCTGCATTGAGATTCAAATCCAATAATTTATCTCTTCATTGTTTATTTGCAGTGGAACAAAAGCCTTGGTGACCGAGAAATCTTGATTGATTCCATATATTATATTATAAAGTTGTCAGAGATTATTATAGTATGCATGATGCAAGGGACTACATGTTGAAATGTTGAGATTGCAATGAAGCAGAGAATCAAAATGAAAAGTTCAGAAATCTTGAAGAAGCATAGAAACAGAAAGCAGACAAGTAGGAAAATAATATAGATAGAGTACAATTAGATTATTGGGTTAACTACATGATTGATCACTTATGTTTGTGTTTGTCTACTTTTCCTTAATGATTTCAAAAAATATAATATACGGTCATTTTCATTTTCATTTAATTAAGATGTGATCACTACAGGTTAACTGCCATAGATTGGGTGATGTCGCAGTCAAATATTTTGTTATAATCAAATATTTGGTCTATGTCATTTACATATTCTCTCAATTTAGTCCTTTTAATAAATTAAAATAAATTTAATAATTCAATCGAATGATGTCACTTGTCATTGATGTCACGACCAATGCTTGGTATAAAATAGACAACATGATGTATATATTTATTTTAATTTTAATTTAAATACATATTTTTTATTTTTATCGTAACTTTTAAAAATATATATTTAATTTATTTTAATTTAAAAATTTATATTTAATTTATTAAAACGGTAAAGTTTGAAACGTTAGACACCGAAATGAGTCTAAAAAATACTTTAGGCACCTATTTGTGAAAAGCGGTATAGTTTGAGTACTTATTTTATATTTATGCATTCGGGATATGATTTTTTTTTGATCCATATTTTTACCTTCAAACACTGATACAGAAAAATAGGATGAGCATCAATCACATTGAATAATTTTGCTACCATACATGATGAGTGCTTTAAATTGAAGATATTTACTTGTTGATTTTTTTGTATTGTCGAATTATTATTGTTGATTTGGTTATGTTTCACTCATTTTTTGTGCAAGAGCTTAATTTTCAGAAACAACAATGAAATGCGTGATTCTACTTTTTTTCTATTTTCTGGAATCATGGCTGGAAACATGGGCATGACCTAGGGCATTACATAGTCTAACGTAATATTTTTTAGAAGATTAAATCAGTCACAACTTCTAGAAATCCAATCAGCATTAATTTAGAAGATGGACGGGCAAAGCCATCCTAGGGAGATTTATCTTAGGAATTAAATTTGAATTTAAAATACTTTGGGGGTTTATTTTATTTTGAATTTATTTAGTGTATCTTTTGGATTTTAGAAGATTATAAATACCCATTTGGGTATTGCTTGAACATGCACTTTTTTTCTTTTAATTTATAAAATTCTCTTAGGTTTTTATTCAAAGTTTTTTTTTCATTTAGCCTATGGCTTAGTGATGACTCAATTCATTCGGTGAAAATTGAAAAGCACTTAATATCTTCGGATAATATTCTTAATTTTCTATAAATTTGGAAAGAAAATGACTTTCCTTTAAAAATCTCAACAATTTCATTTCAAAAAGAGCTCATTGGTTTGCATGTTGTTATGATATACAGTTGGGAGGGAGAGTCAGCTGGTAGCAAATTCTACTTCTTGTGAACACACTTAGCAGCGGTCTTTTAAGGGAAATTGAGACTGGGTTCAATTCTCATTGAGAAAATATAACCCTATTCTGGGCTTTCCAGTGCATAAATATCTTTTGGTACTAAGGGCGATGGTCGTGGTTAGTCCAGGCAAGGACTGAATTTCGAAGAGTGACTTGAGAGTATCGGTTTACTAGAGAGAAAAGTAAGTTACAAGGGTTGTGCCTTGTATACTGTAATCGACATGAATCCTAAAGTAAAATCCATATCGATGATCTAAATGAATTGAGGTGGAACGAAGCTTGAGGTTATTTTTCATCATTATTGCTTTCAATTTTTTTACTTTCATTCCTTGTCATTTTTTTATTTGGTTTATGTTATTTAATTTTTATATCACCAAACACTTTTTTTTTTCACTTTCAATTTCCTTGGGTCAAGTTCAACACAATACGACGTTGAAAATTTCTAAGTCCTTGTGGATCGACCCTTTCTAATCTATACTATGCTTTCATTTATTTCATTTGAGAAAAATGAATAATTATCTGATAGTCATAACACTTGTCAAATTGGCGCCGTTACCAAAGACTTTAGCTAGTTACTAATATTATTTTATTTTTATATACGATAGATAATCTGAACCAGGTCGTCGAGCTAATGACGTTAAACAAAACACACTCTAATGGGGGCAACCTATTTTTATTTTTTTCATTTATTTTATTTTATTTATTTATTATGGTTATTAATTTATTTTTCTTTTGACTTTTTTAGGTACCAAAGTATTTTTCAGATCAAACTCCGATGAAGGACCATGATATTTATTCATAAAGAAAGCAGGCGAACATTGAATCTTTTTAGAACCATTGAGCAAGCAGGAGCAAATCACCCGCCTCTGTAAATGAAACGTACCGTTTCATTAAAAGAGAACCCTGATGCACATTAGCATTTCCCTTGACCCCATGCCCACACAAGCAAACATCACAATCCCATTTTATCTTAAATTGCCGTCCATTTTACACCAACCAAATCAAACCTTTTTTAAAATTTTTTAAACACTTTGACCGACCCCACACCTTTCAATAACCTGGACACCACTTTTTCTAATTTAAATTCTTTTCCAATTAAAACACCTTTTTTCCATATTTTTTTACAACACAAGTGGTTCTTTTCCTAGCCCCAACCACATTTTGACTAGACAAACTCAAACCGTCCACCTTTTATATTCCTTTTATAGGACTCACACTTTTTCCATTACTCACCATTTCATTAAAACAACCCAACCTATGTGCACCATCGTAGAACCTGACCACACTTTGCTTCCAAGTTTCTGAGCACTCACTCGCCGTCCATTGACACTATCATGGTTCAAACTCGCAACCAAGGACCCGATGATTAATTGCCACCAACCATCGATAGACACGTGGAGTATTTCTATCCCTCATCCTTGACTTTATTTCGTATTGGGATAATATTCTTTAAGTGAGGGGTGGAATCAAATTTTTGCTTACTTATTCATGTTGGTTTAATGGAATATCTCGATGCTTATGACTGCTACTTACCTTGGTTAACTTGTAAGTTTTTTCATAATCTATTGTTTACAAGCTTGAGTTGATCTTGTTATGTATGAATAATTGATTTGAGTTGATGAAATGATTTGATGAAAAGCTTTTAACGTTATGGTATAATTGTTAATATTGCTTAAATATGAGCTTGTTTTATTTTGCTAATGATTGGTGTTATATTCAGGTGTGTAACTTTGTGAGACGATTGTGAGTGGTAGATCATTTGAATGTGATCGAATTGGAAAACCGGGGTGAGGCGCTTGGATTGTCATCTTATTTCTGTCATAACGTCCTTTTATTTTAATTTTTTTTACTTTTAAAGAAAGTTCGCTACAACTTATTATTTAAAATCACTTAATTTGTTTGGGAGTCACTAGGTAGGTCAAATACCTAAAAATACATTTTAAAATATTAAAAAAATATTTAAAGTGTACAAATCATTCTATGTTTACCAAAAATTTGATCTAAAGGGTTCGTGAGTCGGTTACCACTGGAAAACAAATAACACCACAATACTCAGAATTGGTACCAAATTGCTTATACATTGAAGAAGTAAAATTATGAAATTGAATGTAAAATTAGAAAATGATCCATTTATTAAAGTTTAATTAATTTACTTTGAATTATTTTACTAGGGAAAATCATTTAATTTGAAAAGAAATATTGAGATTCACACATCCTCAACGAGAAGGTTATCTCTTTTATTTCTTATCTTCAAAAGAATATTCTCTCTTCGATTTAAAATCAATAATCAAATAGAAATTGAATACCAATAATTACGAAAATATAAGATCTTCGAGTACTCCATTGTAAGTCTCTTGGTCTGCCTCAGCCACAAACCTCTTATGTTGATCTTCCACTTTCCCCATCTTGAAATATCTATTGAGTGCTGAAGGGGAAAATCGAAGGAGTTTCCCTCTGACATACACGGTGTGTTGGGATGGGTCTTCAAGATGGGCGTAAAATTTTCTGACCATTGTCGGTGCTACGACTTTAAGATGGCTCACAAACTTCTCCCAGTTGTGTTTTCGAATCACATCCATGACTTTCGGTCCGAATGGTTCTTTGTTTTCTGGTAGAAAACGAAACTGTCCTCCAAATATACTTGCCATTTTTGGAGGTTCTTGAATCATGCCTCGACTTCAGCTGTCTGGAAATGCTCAAAGCTTGGTGTTGGGGCTGGGTTTATCTTTGATCTGGCCATGATACTTGTTGGTACAGTATGTTTCACGGTGGTGATGAGGGAGATTTGTTGAAAGAAAATTTTGAAGTATAGATAAAATGATGCACGATGATAAAGATGGAGTTGAGGTTGGTTTTTCTGGAAAGTTAATGGGTGGTTTCATCAAGGAAATTTGGTCAACACAAGAGGGGAAAAGTTTTTTTGCATTGATTGCTCAATATATGATTGGACATAAAATGAGGAAAATATATTTTCCCTCTTTACTATTGTCGTCCAAAAATTTCTTTTCTCTAGGGTTTCTATTCCTTTCATGCATGAGTTCTCTCCCTATGATGTTACGTGTACTTTGCATGCCTACGATAAATAAAGAAAATAGAAATAAAGTAAAACAGATAACTGGCATAAAATAACTTAATTTATTTATGTACAAAATTCATATTTTCGTTGCCTAGGCAATGAATTTTGTTCAGGTGAATAAGGCAAACTCTTGGGTATCATGTGCTGTTGATTCCGGTTTATCACGCATGACTGGTGCTCTTTTGTATTCCTTTAGTGTCTGCCCATTCACCTTGAAAATGGATCCATCATATCGGTTCTTGCTCGATTGTTATGGATTTGATGTACAATGAACGGTTCTACCATCGTGATTTTAGCTTTCCTGGGAATAATTTGAGTATTGAATTATAAAGCAGTACTTGTTGTCCAAAATAAAATTGCCTAGGCAATATTATTTTTGTCATGCCATCGTTTTGTTTTTCTTTACATAGGCAGGCATTTTCGTAAGCGTGGGCTCTGAATTTGTTCATTTCGTTCAGTTCCAAGAGTCTTCTTTCTCCAGCAAGCTGAGCATCCATGTTTAATTTCTTGATGGCCCAGTAAGCTTTATGTTCAAGTTCCACAGGAAAATGTCATCCCTTACCGTATATGAGTGTGAATGGGGACATTCCTAGCAATGTCTTAAATGTTGTGCGATAGACCCATAATGCTTTATCTAGCTTTGGTGATCAATCCTTTTGACTTGGGTTGACCACTTTCTGAAGGATCTATTTGATTTCTCGATTAGAGACTTCAGCTTGTCCATTAGTCTGAGGGTGATATGCCATAGCTATCTGATGTCGCACTCCATATCGTTTCAGTGCCTTGGCAATTAGTTTGTTATCAAAATGTGTTCCTTCATCACTAATGATAGCTCTTGGTGTTCCAAAGTGTGTGAATATATTCTCGTGTAAAAACTTCAGCATGGTCTTGGAATCATTTTTAGGTGTTGCGATGGCTTCCACCCATTTTGGACACATAATCTACTGCTAAGAGAATGTACAGATCTCCAAAATATGTGGGAAAGGGTCCCATGAAATCTATCCCCCATACGTCAAAAAGTTAAACCTCTAGAATGTTTTGCCATGGCATCTCATGTCTTTTTGATATGTTCCCTATTCTTTGGCATCTATCACATGACTTGTAGAATTCATTTGCATCTTTGAATAAAGTTGCCTAATAAAAACCGATTGAAGAACTTTTGCCACTGTTCTCATTCCACCAAAATATCCTCCATACGGTGATGAGTGACATTGAAGTAGAATTTCTTTATGCTTCTCTTCTGGGACACATTTTTGATTATTTGCTCTCCACATTGCTTAAATAAGTACAGTTCATCCCAGTAGTAATGTCACACATCATGTCAAATATTTTTTTGGCATTGGCTAGATAAATCATGAGGTACAATACCACTAACAAGAAAGTTAACTATGTCAAAAAAACACGTCACAACTATGAAAAATAAAATTTTCCCATCAGGGAAATCCTCTTGAATCTCTGTCATGTCATGATAATTAATTTTGTTATCTAGTCTAGAAAAATGATATGCTACTTGATTTTTCGTACCCTTTCTATTCCTGACCTCTAAATTTAACTCTTGTAGTAATAATATCCATCTTATATGCCTAGGCTTTGCATGTTTTTTATTGATCAAATATTTTATGGCAAAGTGATATGTGTGCATAATTACTTTAGTGTCTGTGAGATATGGTCTAAACTTATCGAATACAAATACTACTGCTAAAAGTTCTTTTTTAGTGGTGGTATAGTTTACTTGTGCATCATTACGAGTACAACTAGCATAGTAGATAACATGAAAGAGTTTACTTTTCCATTGCCCTAGCACTGCCCCAACTGCATAATCACTAGCATTGCACACGAGCTCGAAAGGTTCGTTCCAGTCAGGTGGAACAACGATTAGTACTTCTGAAAGTTCTTTTCTTCAAATCTGTAAAAGCATTCAAACAATCATCATAAAACATAAATGGTTAATTTTTTTGAAGTAAAAGACACAAGGGTTTTGAAAATTGAGAAAACTCTTTTATGAACCGCCTGTAGAAGCCTAAATATCCAAGAAAACTGCGTACGCCTCTCACTTTGGTGGGTGGAGGTAGGTTTACGATTAATTCCACCTTGGCTCTATCAACTTCAATGCCTTGAAAAGAAATTTTGTGACCCAACACTATTCTCTCGGTTACCATAAAGTGGCATTTCTCCCAGTTTAGTACTAGGTTGGCTTCTTCACATCATTTCAGTAATTTGGATAAATTGCCAAGACATCGGTTAAATTGTCACCTGAGACGGAGAAATCATCCATAAATATTTCCATGCACTCTTCCACCATATCTGAAAAAATGACCATCATGCATATTTGAAAGGTAGTTGGGGCGTTACACATACCAAATGACATTCGTTTAAATGCATAGGTACCATATGGACATGTGAAAGTAGTATTCTCTTCATCCTCCGGTGCTACGGCTATTTGATTATATCCTGAATATCCATCAAGAATGTAGTAAAATGCTTTTTCTACTAGCCTATCAAGCAT